TTATCATTTGGTTTGTATATATATATTATATTATTTTAATAATAATAATTATTTTATATTATATTAGCTTAAAGTGAGAAAATGATTCGGAAAGATTGTTAAATTTAACACCTTCAATATTTAATAACTATTTTTTAAACATAATTAATAAATTTAATTATTATTTTATTATTATTTTTAATTTTAATTTTTTTTAATTTTAATTTATTATTATTTTTAATTATTACATATACATTTGAAAACAAAAATTATAACCTTTATTAATATTATAAAATTAGGGAGTAATTGCAGTAATTTTATTGTAAAATAAAATGTCTTTTGAATAAAACTAACCTCACAAAATAGGGCAATTTTAAGAAAAACTGACGAGGCCCAGACCAGTTTTTCCCTAAGTAGGGCATTGGTCGGGAACAGCGTCACACACTAATCGGGCACTGGTCAGTTTCTCTACCCAGAGCCACACCAGAGATCGGGAAAACTGTCCAGTACCCTATCAGGCCCACATTTTAATTTCTGCACGGGGACGAGAGACAGAGAGGAGTCACGAGGACGAGAAATCGTGATTTCCATGTATTTTTAATGTTCGAGATGAGACAAGACGAGATTGATAGAATTCTCGCCTCGTCCAATATCGCGGCAACACTAATTACGTCACACTTAAAGGAGGGTGGGGGAGTCAAGCAATTTGTAACACTCGGCAAAAAAATGGCGGTAATACATGCAACAGTGTGTGACATGGAGAACGGGGGTAGGGTAAAAAATAGTGTGATGTAATTTATGGACATCCTCTTAATTATTTTATAAAAATATACTAGAACTATGTTTGATAAAAATTATATTATGACATTTGTCAACAAAATTATATCACACAAATTTCGAATATACAGCACAATTTAAAAAAACTGATGCAAATTACACATATAATCTGATTTGCACACAAGTTTCATTCAAAATATTTAACACTACCTAAGCAATTAAACTTGAAAAACTATTTATAAGCTCAAAACTAAAATATGATAATCAATTTTCAAGAAATAAAAATAGTGGCATTTCTTATGTCCTTGACATCCACAAATCAATTTAAAGAAATTTTTTTTCAATAACATTTAATTCAGTTCCTATAAGAAAGTAATTCAAGAAAAAAATTTTCAAATGTAGTCTATTATAAAACAATTGGTCTTACAATCAGCTAAGGTAAGACAAGATTAGTGCCCAGACAGTCAAGCCAAGACTGGTTTAGGTCCAACCAGCCAAGGTTAGACAAAATCAGTGCCCAGGCAGTCAAGCCAAGACTAGTTTAGGTCCAACCAGCCAAGGTGAGACAAGATCAATACCCAGGCAGTCAAGCCAAGACTAGTTTAGGTCCAACCAGCCAAGGTTAGACAAGATCAGTGACCAGGCAGTCAAGCCAAGACTAGTTTAGGTCCAACCAGCCGAGGTGAGACAAGATCAGTGCCCAGGCAGTCAAGCCAAGACTGGTTTAGGTCCAACCAGCCAAGGTTAGACAAGATCAGTGATCAGGCAGTCAAGCCATTTTTTCATTTTTTGATAGGTATCAAATTGGCTTGACAAACTTGGCTGCCTGGGCAATGATCTTCTCTAACCTTGGCTGATTGGACCTGAACTAGTCTTGGCTTGACTGCCTGGGCACTGATCTTGTCTAACCTTGGCTGGTTGTTCCTAAATTAGTCTTGGCTTGACTGCCTGGGCACTGATCTTGTCTTACCTTGGCTGGTTGGACCTAATCTAGTCTTGGCTTGACTGCCTGGGCACTAATCTTGTCTTACCTTGGCTGGTTGGACCTAAACTAGTCTTGGCTTGACTGCCTGGGCACTGAACTTGTCTTACCTTGGCTGGTTGGACCTAATCTAGTCTTGGCTTGACTGCCTGGGCACTAATCTTGTCTTACCTTGGCTGGTTGGACCTAAACTAGTCTTGGCTTGACTGCCTGTGCACTGATCTTGTCTTACCTTGTCTGGTTGGACTTAAACTAAAATTGACTTGACTGTCTAGGCACTGACCTTGTCTTACCTTAGCTGGTTGGACCCATACTAGTCTTGATTTGACTGCCTGGGCACTGATCTTGTCTCACCTCGGCTGGTTGGACTAAGACTAGTCTTGGCTTGACTGCCTGGTCACGGATCTTGTCTAACCTTGGCTGGTTGGACCTAAACTAGTCTTGGCTTGACTGCATGGGTACTGATCTTGTCTCACCTTGGCTGGTTGAACCTAAACTAGTTTTGGCTTGAATGCCTGGGCACTGATTTTGTCTAACCTTGGCTGGTTGGACCTAAACCAGTCTTGGCTTGACTGTCTGGGCACTAATCTTGTCTTACCTTAGCTGATTGGCCCAAAACTAGTCTTGTCTCGACTTCCTGGTCACTGATCTTGTCTAACCTTGGCTTGTTGGACCTAAACTAGTCTTGGCTTGACTGCCTGGGCACTGATCTTGTCTCACCTTGGCTGGTTGAACCTAAACTAGTCTTGGCTTGACTGCCTGGGCACTGATCTTGTCTAACCTTGGCTGGTTGGACCTAAACTTTGAATTGACTTGACTGCCTAGGCACTGACCTTGTCTTACCTTGGCTGGTTGGACCCATACTAGTCTTGATTTGACTGCCTGGACACTGATCTTAATTTACCTTAGCTTATTGGCCCAAAACTAGTCTTGTCTTAACAAACCTGAACTTAACTATCCATATTAGATCTGCTGTTTTTAGTGTTTGATATTAATGAGCAGATTCGTGATCAGCTACCTAAAAAACTTTCGAATTATGAGTTTTTTTGCGAATTCGTGAGTTTTTTCAGAAATTCGTCTACCATATTGGATCCTCCATATTGCATTTTTTGAAAACTAACTCAAGATTCGTAATCAGCGACCAAAAAAACCCCCGAGTAATAAGTTTTGAGTGAATTTAAGCAATTTTAAAAAATTAGCCGCTATATTGTGGCCGCCATCTTAAATATTTTAATTTTTCATTTTGTATTTTGAAGTAGACATTAACAGCTAAATTTTGAGACCTCGTACAACTTTTTCCGTCAAAATAAATCTTTTTGGCATAGGAATTTAAAATGAATTTCATGAATTCTAATTACATTTTCAGCCATATTATGTCAGCCATCTTGAATTTCGTGTTTGGCCACTTTGCATTCAAAAGTAGACACAAAGAGCTAAATTTTAATACCAAGTAGAACTCTCTAGGTCAAATTTATTTTTGGATGGATAGGGGTCTCCCGTTCAGAAAGAATGCCCCATATATATATATATCCCTATATTACAAAAATATATCGCTGTCGCCGCTGTTTCAAGATTCCATCCCCCCTCCTCAAAGGTCAAAGGTCAAAGGGCAAACATAACCTCAAAACCCCCTTCCCACTCACAGGTTAAAGGACAAATATAACCTCAAAACCCCTTTCCCACTCACAGGTAAAAGGGCAAACATAACCTCAAAACCCCCTTCCCACTCACAGGTCAAAGGGCAAACATAACCTCAAAACCCCCTTCCCACTCACAGGTAAAAGGGCAAACATAACCTCATAACCCCCTTCCCACTCACAGGTCACAGGGCAAACATAACCTCAAAACCCCCTTCCCACTTACAGGTCACAGGGCAAACATAACCTCATAACCCCCTTCCCACTCACAGGTCACAGGGTAAACATAACCTCAAAACCCCCTCCCCACTCATAGGTAACATGGCAAACATAACTTTAAACCCCCCTCCCTACTCATAGGTCACAGGGAAAACATAACCTCAAAACCCCCTCCCTACTCATAGGTCACAGGGAAAACATAACGTCAACTCCCTTCCCCATCTTCCCCAAATCTATTTCGCTGAAAACATAACCTCAAACCCTCATTTATATTATTACATTACACCCCCTCGTCCCACTCACAGGTCACAGGACAATCATAACATCAAAATCTCCCCTCTCCTCTATTCCCACTCCACTATTATTTGTTAACTAATTCTACATTTCTTACTTACTATACGTGTTACTTACAATTGAAAAAGACTACTTAAAAAGTATCAATTTATATTAAAAAATTTTTTTGTTGGATTTAAGATAAATTTTAAATTAAAAAATCTTAGTATTTTACTTTAAAATAACCTATAATTCTTTATATGTAAGGTCCTTTTTACTGAAAAGCGACAAATATACTTCATAAATTTTCGTAAGTAAATTTATTAAAACATTTTTAGTTTAGGTGAGATGGTAAATTGGTTTGTAATAAAATTTAAATATGCATTTAAATTTTATTATACCTCCCCGTGGTGCATCTTGGAAACAAATTACTTTGAAATTATAGAAATTCACGTAAATAATTTTCATTAAATTCTTAATCAAAATAAAAAAATCTTTAATTTTCTTAAAGAATTTGGCTAAAAACCAATAATTATAATTTTTAAATATTAAAAGATATTATTGACGTAAATTATTAAAGAAAAAAGAAGAAAAAACAAGGGGGTTGGCGCGCGAAGCGCGCAGGGGGGCGAAGCCTCCCTAGTATATATATATATATGGACGCCCACATATATAGGGCCCATTTTGGCATTATTGAAGTTATCTATATGGGCGTATTCTTGGTAAAATTTGTAAAATTTTGAGTAGTCTTAGAACTTTTTTGGTTGAAAATTCGCTGAGTTACAAAATTCCAAAGTTTAGAATGCCAAAAACCTCATTTCGAGAAAAACGGAATTAAAGATTGCGATACCAACTAATTGTTGTATCTCTGGTTCTTTTTATATTCGGCCCTGTTATTCCTGTAGTAAATTACATGTTATTTTTTTGCGTAAGGGCAAGTTTTAGGTTCATAAAAATATTTAACTTTAAAATTATACTTTCAAAATTAACTGGGTGCTACCATCAGCTTCATTCTTCATGTCTACTTCTATATTTCTATACAACGTATAAACAATAATTACACATATAATTTTTTTAAATGGAATTTTTATTGTAAAGTATAAGCTTTAGCTTATACATGGGTACAATAAGATTTAATTGTCTTCTTCATCATTTTCGTTAATCGATTCATCTTCGTTGATTGATTCATTATCACCAAGTACTTCATTGTCCTCGATCTCTTCTTCTTCTTGAGTCACAGTATTACCCTTTTTTATTTTTTTTCTCTCATTTTTCGTGGCTTCTTGAATGTAACACCTAACATCCTTAAAATTTATTTGTTTGTCTTTCACACGGACCAATTTATACTGTGGAATTTCTTGGAGACTTCTCAGAATTTCTACAAAAAATGGAAGGTTATTTTGTGCTTTTCGAAAATTTATAAACTTAGACTTCGCACTTATCTGCTAAAACCAGCTATTTATGTTTTTTTAGAATTTCTACTACATTAAATTCGCTAATATTAGAAATCAAATAACTATTTAAAAAATTATGAGCAAATTCTTTAAGACGATTCAATTATTTTCAAAAAGTACTACAGGGTGACCACATGTCAGTAAAGTCAGTAAAGTCAGGAAAATGTCAGGGAAAAGAATATTTTGTCATTAAAGTCAGGGAAATGTCAGGAAAAAAATTTTTTGTCAGTAAAGTCAGGGAAATGTCAGGAAAAATTTTTTTGTCAGGGCAATTAAAGAAGAAGGAAAATGTCAGGAAAAAAAATATTTTTTCAGTAAATTCAGGGAAATGTCAGGAAAATTTTTTTTGTCAGGGCAATTAAAGAAATTAAGACGGTTATGCAATACATTCTTTGCTCTAAACAAAAAAATTTTTGTCAGGGAAATTCGTTATTATGTCAGTAAAATGTCAGGGAAATGTCAGGGAAATTGATAAAGTCAATCTTGCGGCCACCCTGTACTAGAAATTCAATTATTTTCAATATCTACAGTAATTTCATAAAATGTCGTAAAAGAATTCAATTATTTAAAAAAATTGTTAAAATCTATTCAAAATTTAATTATTTTCATAAATAATAAAATTTCCACATGAATTCAATTAATTTAGAATATAGCATTTTCAAAAGAACAAGTCAAAAAATCAATTATTTAATCAAATTTTCTTATAATTGAAGGGCTGGATGCAATAAGGACGTGAACGCGTGGTTGATAAGTATAATACCAGTCAGGTATCAGTGAGCGGCTTAAGGCTTGTCACTACTCTGCCCTACAACGGAAAAAGACACATAAGCAACATTTTGGTGAAAAATAAGTTTTTGGTATCAATGGATTCGTAATCAAAAACTGCATCTAACTATCGTAATTAAAATAAAAAATTTAAATTATTTATAGTAAAAAATTAATATTGAAAATATCGGAATTCGTGAAAAATGAGAAATTGCAATGGAAAAAGACACATGAGGTACTTTGCGTAGTCCAGAATCTGCAAAAGGCATGAACTACGTCACAACATACAGTGTGAAAATACACACAAAGTCGTTTGCGTTCTTTTTCCATTGTAAATACTGCCGAGCTGGGCTTCGTTTGCGAAACCACATCTGCAAGGGCGCATATGTATTTTTTTAGTTTGTAAACTCAGTGAGTAGAGCAAAGATGTCCAGCGGAAACTATACGCAAGCGACATCGGTTTAACTCGAAACTGCTTTGCGTATGTTTCTTCGCTGGACATCTTTGCTCCGCTCGATGATTTTACAACGAAATACTCCGCAAGCGACTTTCTATTCTTTTTACGTTGTATTTGCGATAAAAAAACTTCACAAGTGCATTTATTAACAAAGATTGTTTAAATAATTAATTTTTGTTACTCAATTAGAAAAAGCACATGCTATTTACCTTAGTAAGGGTGTTTTTATTCATGAAAAATGAGCTCTAAATGAAGTTTTTAACGCAAACGGTTTTTCTCAAATATCTCCGTTGGACCTATTTGTCGCTTATGTGTCTTTTTCCGTTATAACTATCCGACTAATTGTATCCCTTTTAAGTCTCGCATTCGTCCCCTTATTGCAGCCAGCCCTCTAATTCTTTACAATAATTCAATTTCTTTCACAAATAATAACGTTTCTTATGCAAATTGAATTTTTTCAGAAAAATTTTCATAAAATTCTAAACAAGAATTCAATTATTTTCATAAATATTTGAATTCTTTCATGAATAATAAAATTCGTTGCAAAAATACAGTTTATTGTCAGGATAAGAAAGAAGTAAGTAGTTTTGATGAAAATTATGAAAAAGTCAAAAAAATAAAATATTAAATGGGATTTTTATCAAACTTGTGAAGTGTCTGAATAGAGTTTTTTTGGTCAAGTTTAATTTTTCGATAGCTACTTTTTTTTTAGTTTGAAAAATACTTTTTAAAATTAATTACCGAGTGCGAAGTCTGAAAACTTTTTCTGTTTATGAAAATACTAACTAATTATGTTGTTCACGTCATCGAATTTGATTTCCACAAAATCTTTTTGAGAAACAGATTTAGGTCTTCGCGAAGCTACAAACTTAAATTGTTCAGGTAACCAATAACCTTTTGCTAGGCATGTTATCCAAGAAGGTAATGTAGTCATTCCCTTTGCTGCATTCAACATTTTATTCGAGATATTGACTCCAGCGTGAGTAACCTGCAAACGGAATAGTAATGAAAAAATGTCTCAAAATTTTGTGTCACATAAGTAAAATAGGGTCATTGGGGTAAATACGGACAAGAGGGTTTATAGCTTAGTTTTCAATTTAAAAATTAAGTTCGACGTCAACATTTTAAGCTCAGATGACCTACAAGAGATTCTAAGTATTGCTAAGTTTTTATCTTGATAATTGGTAACAGGATAATTAAAGTTGTCGCTTAATGCAAAATAACTTGACAATCATTTTCAGACTGGTTCAGTATCTCATCTCGCATTGGAAAAATAACAAACTTAAAAATCATACAAAAATTTCTTATTATTCCTTATGTCTCCCGAAAGAAAAATTGACTTGAATTTTTTATTTTTGTCAATTCATTTAATAATGTCATTATTAATAATAATGACAAGCTGTCCGAATTTACCCCAGGAATTCGAAAATTTGGTGTAAATTCGGATAGAGCTTCTATTACATTTTGAAAAGTACAGAGTATAAGAGAGAGTAAGAGGGAGAGAGTGAGTGACATCAAATTTGTAATCAATGACCACAAAAACCCCTGAGTGGCAATTTTCAAGCAAATCCGACCAATTTTTAAAAATTTCCGCCATATTGGATCCGCTATTTTGAATTTTTAAAATCTGACTTTGAATTCGTATTCAGTTACCCCAAAAATCCCCGAGTAGCGAGAACCAAGCAAGTTTGCTTAAATTACATCAATTAAATTAATCAATGTATTACAAAATTATTACGTTCATCCGCCATACTGAATATTCAAAATCTGACTTCTGATTCTTATTCAGCGACCCCACTCACGTGAAAATGTTCCCGAGAATTGGACCGAGAAATTCCCAGAAAATTCCCGGGAGTAAAAAAAACAAATGAATACAAAAAAATTTTCTTTTGTTTTTTTCACTCCCGGGAAATTCCCGGGAATTTCTCGGTCCAATTCCCGGGAACTTTTTCACGTGGGAAAAAACATTTCTTTATCAAGTTTAATTAAAATCTATTAAAATTTGTTAAAGTTATTTAAGTTTTTCATTACTACTTTTCGAATGGTTGATTTCTTAGCTTTTATAATACTATAAAACTTAACAGATTAAACTTTTATATATCTACTATGAATTTTTTTCAAGTTGCTCCATCCCTCAACAGTAGTATATTTAAAATAACTTTTTTTAAAAACCTTTCTAATTGTAAGAAACTAAGCTGTCCTGATTTACCCCAAATTTTAGGAAATTTTTTAAATCGTGGGGTAGTTCCGGACAGTTAATTTTATGCGATTAAAGCTTATCTAGATTTTTTTCTGTTCTATAAAATTAATCGAGGGAACTAAAGAAAGAAATAAATGCAATATAAAACCGGAAGTATTTACTTTTATTATAAGAAACTTACGTTATTTGTGAAAAATAGGTATTTTGTCCGGATTAACCCCAACTGACTTTATTTGTTTACTTACCCTACTATTACTATCACCTAGGGCTTTTAGAGCAGCATCATCTGGATTTTTAATACTTTTAACTAAAACTTGTACATTGTCTTTGATTGTCTCAATTTCATTAACAATTAGTCCTTTTATTACGATGTTATTTTGTTTGGATTTGTAATTTTAGTGAGATCTTATTTTGTTTTTTTGAAAAAATCCATTCATATAATTTTATAATTATTTATTAGCTTTCGCTCGTCGACGACAGGCATCCTCAGATAATTTTAAACTGAAATTACATACAATTATTAATGAAAGAAATATATTAAAAAATATCTAGAAGAACATAACCTATAACTTACCAAGAAGGTTTCTTCCCGGAAATTTACTAAAAATATAATTAAAAAAACACATCTTAATTTGTCAACAAGGACAAATTTAAAATAAAACATGTTGTTAATAATAAAAAAAAAAAAAAAAAAAAAATTACAAACGGAAAAAGAAGAGGAAAGAAAAAACATGTGTTCGCATGCTTGATCCCTCTTGTTCAACTTGTTCAAATATATTGGTGAATTACAGTGATAGTAAGTGAAACTGAAAAGTACCTCTATATATGGTAAGGAAGAAACCCATACAGTAGGTAAATTCAAATTTCACATAAGCAGTAATCTAAGAAAATTTTTAATACAAAATAAATATATTAGTTAATTAGTACTGAGAATTAACGAATGATAAAACTGATTCAAATTATTTAAATCAGTCTGTTTATTAACAGAGTTTTCGGACTTGAGAATGTGAAACATCTCTCTAAATTTCCTTCGTCTGTAATTTCGTTCGTTACATATGATGTTTGTTGCTTCGAAATTAAGTAGATGGTCATTCTCATATGCATGAGTGACCAAAGCTGTTTTTCTACTATCATTTCTACAATCCCTCTTATGTTCACTTAGTCTGTCTTTAATATATCTACCAGTCTCACCAATGTAGCAAGCTCCACATTGGCAAGGTACACAATAAACCAAATGCGATTTTAAATCAAAAGAAGTAGGGTCTTTATTTTTTGAAAAAATTTTAAACGGATCCTTATCATAAGGATAATTAGTCCTTTTATTTGTTCAATTGATGGTGCAGAACATGTGGCAGAAGAAATAGTTTGAGCAGTTGAAGAAATTTGAGGAGTGGGGGCATTTTTCAATAATTCATTAATATTTTTTAAGTGATTAATCTCGTCGTCTTTACGGACAATTACATCATTAAGCCTTTCTATTTCTCTTTGTAAATCAATTACATCATAATTTATGCCGCTCTGTATAGTTTGCAAATATATATTAACAAATTTATATTTAAAATAAATAAATCTTTTAAAAGAAAACAAAAAATATTATGTAAACGTATTCACTGCTATTTTTTTATTTTCTGTTTATTAATTATTTTATTAAATTCTATTCAATCTATCCGTAATTCTAAAAAAAATTCAAAAAAACAGTGTTCTTTTTCACGTTTAAACCCCTCCCCCCTTAATGGGTATGACTGTTGCAAATGTAATTAGGAGTTTTAAGTTTAAATTAAAAACAGTAAAATAGTTTAGCGGTAGGTACGGTGATATTACAATGAGCAAATCTTTGAAGATTTAAAAATTAAGAATTTAAATAATAGTCAGTGATGTTTTGCGGAGGGACAGTTAATAAATCTATATTATGGATATTTGAGAATATAAAACTAAATGTTGACAACATTCTGAAAATGGGGTCGAAGTAACCAATGGGACTCGAAGGTCCAGTAGGTCAGAATATATCATAAAATCTAGAACCTAGCCGAGGAATTATAAAAGGTAAAAGTTGAAGAATTAAGGGGGAATCGATAGTGTTATTTAAAAGACGAAAAATAAATTTGCATTGAATAACAATTCTTTGTTGCTCAATGATGTTTTAAAAAGAAACAGTACTTGAGAAAGCGATTTTGAATTTTTTCAATAAAGTCTCTATGTTTCTGGTAGAATTGATTCCATATTAAGGGTAAATATTCAGCTTTAGATCAAATAAGACAATTAAAGAGAATGAAAAGAACAACAAAATTTTTAAAATGTTTAGAATTACGAGAAATCATGCCGATTGTTTTTGTGGTTGTATCGTAAACTATTTGAAGATGAGAATTAAAATTTAAATTTGTTGAAAAAATGACGCCTCGAAATCTAGATTTCTGAGATAAATGTTCGTTGTTGATATTATAGACAGCTGAATAAGGAGTTTTGATTTCGAAAAGGTGACCAGGCTATACTTAGAAGGGTTTAAAGAAAGTTTGTTTTCTGAACACCAGGTTCTAAGTTCATTGATATTTTTTTGTAAAGCAACTGTATCCTCAAGATTTTCAATTATGTAGAATAGTTTAAGGCCATCAACAAATGGGAGGTTCTAAACATTAAAGATACAGGTTAAGTCATATTTAATAGTGTATTTTTTAAAAATTACCTGTGATCTAATTGTAGTCGTACAAGCCTTCGTTAACTTTCGATTAATAACTAATGCATTCCTTTTTGTTTTGTCCTGAAATATTAAAATAAATCAATTGCAGACTTTTGGACACATTGCTTCAAAAATCTGATGTATACTTTTTGATTATATTGCTTCTATAATAAACTTTTTGGTGAATAATTTGTTTTTATATTTTTGAAATATTGATTACATTTTTTTACATCACACAGAAAGCATTTTTTAACCTTTGACACAAATTCATTTGTAAAATAATTAAATCTTTTAATAGAAAAATAAATATTAATATTGAAATTATAATCTTCAATAATTTGTCTGTTATTAATTATTAGAAATTAAGAATAATATCCAGGGCGACCTACTATTCGGGGCTATACCATTTTCCTTTACGTAATTTTTTTTAAAAAAGGTTCTGATTCTTACTTTATAAAAATAAAAAAATATCTATAAATATTTTTCTTTTATTTCGTACAGTATTGTGAGACGTATCTATTTATCTGTTAGTGAACATTCTATTGTGATTCTATTCAGTTTAAAACATATTTTAAAACGGTAGTTTGTAATATTTTTAATATATTGAATTTAACGAAAGTGTTTTTAAAGTTGTGCTTTTTATTTTTTATGATTTTAGCACACGGAGAAACTATTAGTTACAAAAATTACTTAACTGTATTTCAATATTTCTAATAAAACGTAAGAATTAAGTGATAATCGAGGTACGATGATAATAGTTCTTATTATAATAAGCAGGGCTCAAACCAGTGAAAGTATTTAAAAATACGGAGTTTACGGACTAAAAATAAAAAATTACGGACCAATTGCGGAAAAAATTTGTCATAACTATAAAACATTATCGATTTCTTCATGTTTTATAGTAATTAAAGATTAAATGATAAAATCATTATCAATTCAATTATTATTTTCAAGAATTTTTAACTACAATTCTTATTTAAATCAATTATTTTTAATAATTTTCGAAAAAATTCTTCGAGAATTTTCAAATTTATTTGTTTACCATATTCAATTTTACGAAATTCCAATTATTCGTAAATTCTTCAATTAAATATATATTAGAAAATAAAAACTTCAAATAACATAAAAAAATCCAAAATTAAACTTTCTCAAAAAAAAATTACTCCCACAGAATTGTTAGTTAAAAGTATGAAAAATTCAAATTTTTAAATATTTTAATCTAAAATCTTTTCAAAATTCAATTACTTCTAAAAATTTACGCTCTAATGCCTTTAATATTTAATTATAATTTAAAATTTTAACTGAAATTCATTTTTAAATCAATTTTTATGAGAAAATTCAACAGCACTTGTTAAGAATAGTTTGATATATTACAATTTTCATGTTCATGATATATGTATATAAAAATTTATACGCACGTATATGTCATCTTCTAAGTACTGAACGTCGTTTTTAATCAAATCTTGATGTCTTCCCTTTTTAACTTTTTTCTGTAAATATAAAGATATCAATTATAATAAAAATTCTTTTCATTAACAAATGAATACCCAGGTGCGAATTTTCGATGGATACATGGTTGGGTAAACTTTTCACAGGTCAGTTCAACTCAACGTGTCAATGGTTAGGGCAACTAGCAAAATAGTAATACGAACCATAAACATTATTAAAAAATTAAATTATTTAAACAATTAACACGTTATTTTCAGAGATTTCACAAAAGTGTCAATTGATAAAAATGGCGATTCGTAAAAGTGACATTTCGTTAAAATAACAGTTCGGATAAATGCAATTCCGTAAAATGACAGTTCGGTCAACTGACATTTGGGGAATAATCATACGCCTCGACCCGAATGTTGGCCTGATAGTTGGATAACTTTGCACGTCATTGTTGGCTTGCAAAGTCGGGTAAATCTCTAAATTCTTGCAGCCAACCTAAATTCGCACCAAGGTATTGAACGAACAAAAGTATCTTACCTTAAACTCTCTGGCTAATTTAATTTGCTCTTTTTTTAATGCTTTTTTTTTTGTTTTTCGCCGTAACAGGTTCGTAATCAGAGGGTGAGTAAAAGTTGTTAACAATTTTACCCCTCAATTCTCGTCTTTTTGCGCCCTCAGCCAACTTCCTTTTCTTACTTGAAGAAGATCCTGGGAATACTTGTGAATTTCCGTTTTTTGGTAAAGGTAGCTTCTTAAACGTAGTAGATTTTTGTGACGGTGTATAAGGTAGTTTGCTTTTCACTACCCTCTTACCTTCTCTTAAGTAAACTAACTCCTTTTTTCTTTGTTTTGGAGTTTCATTAGATGGATTTGTATCCATCTAAGAAACGAGTTTAGGAAATTAAAATATTAATTAATTCTATGAATAAAAAAGGGAACTTCTGGTCGAAAGTTTTAAAAAAATTTAGTTTTTCTTGCTGAACAAGATTAAGCAATTAAGCTTAAAAAATCGTGCCAAACGTCTTAAGATAGACAGTTTAGAAACCAAAAGATGAACATCATATTACATATTTTCTTGAATGTAGTTTTGTGAACCTCTTAATTACAATTATTAATTTTACCGCCATGAAGTGTGTGTTAGCAAACTCATGAAGCTGAAACTAGTGACCACTTAATTTTGAAAGTTAAATTAGAATATCAAATATTCTTTATGAATGGCTATCTGCTATAATTTTTCAAAATTTATGTCGATTTTAAACAAAATAGGGGAGAGTGGGGCAAGACGGGGTACCGGCCCTATTTAACAAACGAATTAACCAATCGGGATTATATTTTACATAATACTGCACCGAGACGATATAGTTTCTTTTTTACAAAACCTAAAAGACATGAGAACAAATCTTTTATCTGTTTTACTAAAAAAACTGTTTTCGACGATTTTCTTGTCATTTTTTCACTTTTTTAGGAGGTGTTTATTAATTAATAATAACAGTTAATGAACTGTATAATTTTTTT